CTGGCATTTGGCCAGCGATATTTATTCAATGAGATTTATTTAAAAGGACAAAATAAAGGCCACTTGAAAATTATTACCACTTTTCACAGTAAACTCCTAAGCAACAAATTATGTGGCAGTCTTTATTTCTGAAAGTGAAGTATTAAAACAAACCCCTTCAAATCTTCAAACACTTATTTTATAGAAATATTTTGTGCTAGTTTCATTTCATTAATCCACAGGGGAAAAAAAGTAGTTGAATGGAACATCAGCAGTTGAGGTCATACATTTATTTATTTATTTTTTAACCAAATGGGCATTTTTCTATTAAAAACATTAAAAGAGAGCTATTGACTTGCATAATTTCTATGACACATCTCCTGGGGCTAGAAAACGGAGTACATCAGGGTGACCGTAACCTATTGATCAGCTGATGGATAACTGCAGGCAGTGCTGGTGTGCAGGGCTCCCACATGGAACAGATGACAGTCAGGGTGGGCAAATTTAGCAACAGGACCATTCAGAGTATCGTACAGTCTTGCATTCTTTCCCAGGAACTGCTGGCAGATTTGGGGATCCTCTTCAGACCCTCATGGTCGGAACAGATTTCGAAGGGAACAAAAGCTACCAGCGTCAGGCTTTGTGAATTAGTTGTATTTGCAGCTGGCAAAGGCTCTCTTTTTTTTTTTTTTTTTTATTTGTTCAGGATACGAAAAATAAAGGAGCTTCTGATTTCTATGCAGCAGGGAAAGTTGGAGCATTGCTGGCTTCCACTTAGGATGTGTGCTGTGCACGATGGAGATGAGCAGATGTTGAAGAAACCTTTTATTGCCAAGAGTGTCTCTCTCTTACCCCCTCCTGTCAACCTTGAAACTACACCGACCTGTGCAGAACTGGGGCCAGCAGCGTGTTAATCTCCAGCACTGTGGTGACCCTGTGCAGCTTATGCTCTGTGCTTGCAGGGACCACAGCCAAACTCAGTCTTTCCTCAGCTGCTCAAGGCCACTCTCTGAAACTAAAGCGTGCAGCTTGGAAGCACTTCTGGTTGTTGATGTTCAGGGAGTGCCACAGGCAGCCCAGGAATGAGCCTCCGTGTAACCCCACCTCAGGGAGCTGAGTATATATAGATCCCTGGAAGCAGTTTTCTTCTTTGGCACATCACTCCCACCCATAACACCTTCCAAACAAACACTCCCTGCCCCCCTGTGCCCTCACTGCTTGGCTTCCAGCAGCTTCTCTCTCTTCAAGGGAAAACAAGGCTTAAAAGCTGAGAAAACTCACGCCTGGAGAGAAAAGGGGGAGGATCGCCTTATAAAAGGGCTCTCACGTACTCAGAGATGAGCAGCCCGAAGTCAATGTCAGCAGGCATCAGCCCTTGACCCTGGCTCATGATGGCATGAGGACCTAAGCAAGCAGAAGTGCTGTGAGTGGGGCTTCTGGTACAGGTGTGTAAGGAGACCTCTGTATGTCTGCAGCTCTGTCCTCTCCCAGAAGAAGAGCTGTCCTGGTGCCTGATGCATGCAGGCATGGACAAGGGTGCTCCCACAGGCAGTTCTACAGCGGTTACAGGAGAGTGACCCTTCATCTCACACCCATTGGTTCCTCAAATCCCATAGACACAGATATCACCTAAATAAAGTGAGTTTGCATTGCCTTTAACGGTGGCCAGTGCAGAGCTCGGGTTGCTGGTGTTGTATTGGGTGGGTCAGCACTGGGAAGGGAACACTCAGAGAGCAGAGGAAGGGCTGGTTGTGGGAGTGGTGCAAGAACCACAGCTCTGCCAGCCATGCTGAGGGAGCAGACAATGACAGAACAGTTCTGCCCTTCCCAAAACCCCCTGTGGCTGCAGGGAGAAGGCTACCTGCAGCGGGAAAGATGGAGGACCATGGAAGTGGGAGGAGGTCTGAAGCAGATCGACCTAAAAGAACAATAAGGTTCCCCAGGTAACTGTATCTACTTCTGTAAGGCTTTTAAATTCCCTTTATCAACAATAATCACAAAAAAAAAAAAAAAAAAAAGGTTAAAATAATAGAGGTATAAAGTCTAAACTATCTTGAGTTTGCTAGCATTGAACAGTGCTGTCACTGGGCTATCTGCCTGTGGAGCACAGCCAAAGGGCACAGTGGGGAGCTCTGCCTGCTTTGCACTGTGTTCCATACTGAAAAATAAGTGAGGTCCAGGTGCTGAGGCCATCCACTTTCTTGCCACAACTTATTGTGGAGTGGTGTGTGGGGATAGAGGCACTGTTCAAGAGGCTGTAGAATAGGGTCTTTCTTCTGTAAGGATTTCTTGTTCTGGAAACTCTGACCCACCCCACCCCTCATAAAAAGACCATCAGAGAGCTACCAGAATGCCCTAACCCAAACAGTTTTGAAGTAGTGATGATGTTATTCCTACCTAATCCCAGCAGCACTGCTGTAGGTGACAGGCCCTGTATGACTACAGGATCTGAGCACTTCATACTCGGAGGTTGGTTTTCTTTCTCTTTTCTTCTTTCCTAAACCAAGTCCATCATGGTTTTCCTCTGTGACCCTGAGCAAGTCAACATTCATGACTCTGTTTGTTGCCAGCAAAGTGCCTTTTCTATTTTCCATCTCAAAGGAAGATAAAGAGGAATAGCTAATGCTCTTGGAGGGTTTTGGGATGTTGTCATAGAAGGTGTTTGGGGAATGTGAAATACTTGTGAACCTAAATTTAGCTCTGAAAGTCATGCAGCACAGTTTCCTGGCACAAATAACAGAGAAAGTCTTGAAATCTGAATGTTTTCCAATTGTGGCCACAACCTGGAGGCTCTGATAGCCACTGGTTGTGCCAGGGATCTACGACTCTGGCTCCAGCGAGTCCTTTGCCTTGCTGAGAGACCAGACCTTCCACTTCCTCCCAGGCTGGTCCCACCAGCAACTCAAAACACCAGCAGTTTCTGTTCTTGCTCTAGATGTGATGCCTCCATATTTGGTCTGCAAGAGCCCTGTGGGGTAAGAGCGTTCTTCAAACCTAATAAAAGCGGCAAATTTAGCAGAACTACAATGTTCTAATGAGTCAGCTGAGGGAGAATATAAGAAATCTGTCTTGGGATACATGTTTTAGGAGAAATATGCCAATTAATTTTAGATCTTCCACTCTGAGATTTATTTCCTCTTTCCCTAATTTCTTTTAGCCCACTGGAGCCAGCCCATCGTGCTCAAGACTGTGTGGTTAAGGGGTCATGATACCCCTGTTCACATGTAATGGGTTAAATGCCAGATGGCTAATAAAGAAGATTGATTCTACTTAGACAGCAAAATATGACATTAAGTGGAATTTGGAGCTAAATTTCAAAGTTGACTTTAAAAGAGTGTAATTTAGTCCTTGGGTGCTTAGGCTGTGCTGACACCTTGTTTTATTATTTTTAGTGCCTGCCACACATACTCCTCTGTGGAGAAACAACTTGTTTGACAAAAAAGTTGATGTAACTCCTGTCACATAGTCTTGATCAGAATCCAGAAACCAGGTATAGCTCTGCCCAAACTGGAGGTGCTTGGTTTCTTCACTGGCTGCAGCAGGACTGTGGGCAGCCCAGAAGGTGCACCTGCTGAACATGCATCATTGTTTAAAAATAAAAAGAGGAGAGAAAAGAATAACATGGAAAATATTGCTAGGTCAGCAGAGGGAGGGAGGGCTCATGCCTGGGCAGGGGGGTTTGGGGAAGGGCAGGACAAATACTGGTATAGAGGCATAGCCACGTAATGAGAAGACGTATGGGATGTTCTGCAGTGCAGGAGTAATGGAGAAGGCTCCCGGGGTGCTGCAGTGACATTGCACTCAGTATTAATTTGTACTATTTGTGCAGGTTAGGTTGGGTCTATTTGGGCATTGCAGCAAGGTTTCAGCCCATGTACCCAACCTCAGATACCCTCTGCTGCAATGCAATGGAGATGATCCGTGCAAGTAATCTTTGCTGAAGCCAATGGGAGGACAGAAGACTTGGTTAATATTTAAGTGCTTGCATGACCAGGTCCCAGGTTAAGAAATAAAGTCATAGCAACAAAAACAATCACATGAAGAAGCAGAAGGGAGGGAGAGGGAATAATTAATTTAGTTGTTGTAAGTCCAGAACCTGGTATGTCTTGAGGCCAAAAGATTAGAAGAATATTTGTTTCCTGAAATGTGTAGAATATGTGCATTTAATCAGTTACCTGTTCTGCGGAGATTTTATTGCTGATTTCATAATTCACATCTATCTTTCTCTATTTTCTGTGGAAGAATCAGTCTGAAATAAGGATCAGTTGAGCAAATGAGTGTATATAACAGAACTGAGAAGTAGTAAGACCCAAGTCTGAACCATAAGTATTCTGCAGAAGTGGTAGTTTTGACAAATAAGATACATGGGTGAAAAAGAAAGCATTTAGGGAGAAAATATTTTATGACATAATCATCATCCCATTGACTTTGTGCTGGGAAAGAGTTCTGAGTTACAGAGCGGAGAGTGAGCGCAGGCTCAAGCTTCCAAGGAGGTATTTTACTTTCTGACCTTGGTTTATCTCTGATCAGCACAATGGTGAGTGGCTTCTGAATAGTTTTGGAGAAAGTAACATAAATATATTGAGTTTTTTGTTTGGTAAGTGTAACTGTAAGGAGGGTTTGGTATTGCTAAATGAATATTTAAAGCAAATGTGTGACAAGTTCTTCACTGGCAGTTTGACTTGTGAGTCATGTTGCACAGTCCCCAGCCATGCCCCTCTCTATTTATAAAGTCATGCCTTGCTATATCTGACTATATCTGACTTGCTAAAATTGTGGAGGGGATTCTGGTGGCATGTTATGGGAAACAGGGAATGACTGAGAAGAGTAAGGGAAGCTAGAAATGACACGAGAAACCACCACATGCTGGCTGCCTTCTGAAGAGCAGAGGAAATGTGCTGCTTGGCTTTTTCACCATGAAAATGTCCAGGAGGCAGGGGCTGATGGCTTCAGTCTGCTGGGCACAAGGTGGGGAAAGAAGAGTAGAGTGAGGGTTTGTCTGACCCGAGCCCCTGTAGATGTTTCAGGATGGGTGGAAGAACAGGATGAGGTTACCCCAGCTAGTGGGGGTCCCTGCCGGCATCTGCCCAGGGCCCTGCCACACAAGAGAGCTCTTTCCGGGTCACTGCCCACCAGCTGGCTGTCAGCAGTGGGGTGCCTCAGTGCTGACAGGGCTTTGACATGCAGGAGAAGGGGCAGACAATCTCCAGAGCTGTGCCCTCCTCCCCAGGGCTCCAGCTGGAGCTGGGAGAAGAGCACATTGCCAAATGCTGGTAACATAATGTGTTATCAAGTAGATGCAGGACAGGGGAGATGAGGCAAAGGGACATGAGGAATTCAGTGGAAACTGTACTGGGAAGCACAGCAGTGCTGCCACTAAAGGCAAAAGGAAGAGTCCTAACCTATTTTGATCATATTCTCTTCACAGGCAACAGGCAAAGGAGGACAAAGACATGCAAATTGCTTTCAAAGGGTGGTCCACCATGTTCATAATCTTCCTTAGAAAGCAGACTGATAGGATAAGAGAGTTGTCTGTTTCTGAGACTTCAGTGACTGAAGGTACTGGTTTTATTCCTGCTCACCTCTTTCTGTGGGCCTCCAAGAGCTGTTTTCTGGTGGACATGGTTTGGCTCTAATTGACTTCACAGGAAGGCAATTTCTTTCCTACCTAGTTCAGCAGTACTGGGCTGCCTTAGCGCTCATTTAGGTTTCTTGAGCACCTTCCTTCGCAGTGGTCTTGGGGGAGGCAGTGGATATGAGCACCACGGGGACACTGTATGGAAATAGTCACATAGGGCTGTAAGTGGATGAGTATTTCACAGCCAGAGGAAGATGCTGCTCTGCCCTTGCAGGGAGTGGGGAACAGGAGTCATGGTGATGGGAGGGATGACCACACAGCAGGGCAAAACCAGCACATAATTCTCCACAAGTAGCCCAGCTGACAGTTAGAGTGGTGTTTCTGGACACTGACGGTTCATTTTGCGTGAGGTGGCAGGGGCAAGGAGGCCAGGGCACCACGGTGCTTTTGTGCAGGGGGAGGTCTCATTCACAGGCAGCTGAGGCTGGATTCACACCAGCAAGCTGGCGAGATGAAAGTCAGCCTAACACCACACTTCAGAGCCAACAGGTTCCTCGCGCTGAGTAGATAATTCATTGTAAACAATATAGGCAGATGTCAGCACTCTCTGGGGGAGCTGCTCACAAGCAGTGCACAGGTTTTTTTCCAGGGCATCTTTTTGTCAAAACCATTCTCAAGATAATTTCTGGTGCCTCAGAGGGATGTGGTGTTTGAAGCACTGGGCACAGGTTGCGCTTGCTCCCCCTACTCTCAGAACTGAAAGCCTCGTGCCAAGCCATGTGACGGCAGAACTGAGGTACTCTTTTTCTAGGGACACTGCAGGATCCATAGCTGCTGTTTGATTGCAGCTGGCCCTTTTGGGGACTATCCCTGTGATGAGGCTGCTTTGCTGCAGTGGGTTAGAATGCAGAGCACTAGAAGGGACAAAGAGGCGTCTGGAGACAAATGATTAAGCTTTTAATCTAGAAATACATGGGGAAATGATGTAGTGCCTGCTTTTCTGTATTTTAAATCAATACTCTGTTTGTTGAACTAGTTTTTCTCCCATGAAGCAATGATGAAACCCTTAAGACATGACGGGAGATTTTACAACATGCTGTGTGGAGTGAGGGGTTGCAGATACCACACAAACACATGCCCCCCACCTCCCGGCCAAGTTGGGCTGGTGGTTTAACTACAGAACTGGAGGAGATGGGGACTCATGCGTGTGTGTTCCCTGCTGCCCATGCAGCAGGGGCAGTGGAGTGCAGGGCAATTCCAGACCACAGGTCAGGAGGGTTGACATCCAGCCCTGATGGCTTCACAGTGCTACTGACAACAAGGCTCAGCCCCCCTCGCTGCAGGGCTGTCCTGCCTCTGGCAGCTACCAGCAGGTCACTGGTATGCACCTCACCCTCCCCAGGGTGTCTTGCTTTTCCTTGCCTTTCAGCAGCATTTCTGCCTGCTCCCTCTCATAGGCAGAGCCAGGGGATGCTGAGCTTAGAAACCCAGATGCAGAATATTCCTTTCCAAAAAGAAAACTGCAAAGCCGGTGACCGGTTGGTAGTGCTTAACACCTATGAATGTACTGGGATTGCTACCTAGGCAAAGGAAGGAGCATGATAAGACTTTAATCTCCCTCCTCACTGGAGGATAAATGAACCCTGACTACACTGGCATTTCCCAGCCCGGTAGTGAAATGGCTGATTACACGCCTCTCACTAGCTGCAGAGACCTGCTCACAGGGAGTTTGCACATCTGCAAACTCCAAAGGGTTAAAAATAGATCCCACCCCGCCGATGGCACATTTTATGTCCTTTTAAAGGTGTGTCATGCATTTCATTCTAACAGTCTCTGTGAGACCTGAGAAAATGTCTTCATGTTGCTGACATTTTGTTCAAGGCTCTTTCTGTTTTTTAAGCCTGTGGCTGCCTGGGCTGGCTCCCCATTCCGAGCTCTATTTCAGGGGGGCTGCCTTTGCCCCTGGCTGCCCTGTTCTGAACGACCAACTGCAGCGTGATTGCTGGCACGTTTGTGGTGCTCCCTACAGCAGTCCTGCCCCATCACATAGTCAGTAGCTAATGAGTTTATATTTCTAAGCAAGGCAGGGACCTGCTCTCTAAATGACTAAAATATTTTTCTTCTTTTTTTTTTTTTTTGGTGTCGTTTTGTTTGTTTGTTTGTTTGTTTGTTTTATTTGTTTTTTTATGAGCCAGGGAATACTTGTTAGAAGAGGGCCATCCTTTCTCTCATTTACTCACATTTGCCATATCTGATGATGATACAACTTTTGGGGTGGACATCCCCACAGGCACATGTGTTCCTCCAAGCATCCTCCATGTGTGCTATAGGAAATATCTGAGGCTGGACCTCTGTGCACCGGCCATCCCAGCTCATGTGAGACCCACCCCTGGCCTGGGACGCTCCCTGGCCCCATTGGAGCTGCAGGAGTCAACTCCCCCAGTGCTGCCACCTCCCCTCCACGGGTGGGTGGAGCTCTAACCATGTGTGCTGGGCACACTGAGGCCCTCATGTGGGTAAGGTCCAGCCCTGGTTGGCACTGCTGGACAGGGGGGTTCCTATGCATGGCTCCTGGGGCCAAGGAGGCTGCTTAGCATGTGGATGGGGTGATTGGTGCAGCACAGAAAAGGGCACTTGGGCAGATTCAGAACAGCAACAAACAAAGAGGAGTTGCTATGGGTCCTGCCATGGTGGCACTGGTCTGCACCCTTTGAGGAATGTGCTGCTGCTGCAGTGGCAGGGAGCAGGGAGCAAGGCAGGGTGCCCACAGCAGGGGGATACCAGCAGGTTTCCTTTGCAGAGCAATGTTGGCAGGAGCTGCGTGCTGCTTGAAAAGGGGCTTTCTCTGCTGGCATCCACCAGGTCACGCATAGCCCAGGCCACCACCTCGTGCCATGTGAAACCCAAGAAAGCCTGGATAATCTCCAAAGGGCGGATGAAATTCCCATATCAAGCAAGCTCCACTGTAGCTCTGCAAAAGCCCAGAGAGGTTTGCTTCGTGGGAGGACCTGGGTGGTTTTATAAGGGGCTCCATTCCTCCCACAGGAGCCCCCAACCAGTCAGCGTGGCTGAGACCATATTAGGGATGCCTTTCCCTGAGTGCAAACTGTGTGTTCCCATCACATTCCCCATAGGAAGGCCCCCCATAAAGTCCCCCCTACCCTGACTTAAAGAGGCAATGAAGGCAGTGCCTTTGGGTGAGAGGCAGGGATGATGGGGCCAGATTGCTCATCCTCCAAACAGCATTTATCCTGGATGGGTAAAAGTAAGGACAAGCCAGGGTGCCAGCAAGGAGAAAAGGGGGAGCTGTCAGCCTGTGCCCAGCCCAGTGCTCGTGAATTTCCAGCCTGCCTTTGCCTTCCTGACCACTCTTTCCCAGTTTCTTTCTGCTGCCCCTGTGAAATTTTGGAAGCAGATTAGAAACTCATCTTAGCAGCTGAGCCCTATTCATGATTAGAACCAAGTCCTTGATGCAACTGGCTTTATTTGGGACTGCCATAGACAGGGCACAGCACTGTCCCATCAAGAAGCTGGGAGTCCTGCACGCCAGTGGGGTACTGCTGAAGACAGGTAAACCCCTTCTTGGTAGCTCCCTGCATACTCTTTCTCCTGTCCCCTGTCCTCCACCCTGTGTCCTCTTTAGGAGCCTGGAGGTCCTTTGAGGCTGCTTCTCTAGGTGGGCTGGGGAAGAGCTTTTAATATGCAAGTTTTTCTGAACTGATGTTGGAGACGCTTCAGAATAAAAGAGAGAATGCTGTGGCAATCTCTTGTGGACAATCTCAAAGCACGCACTCATGGCACTGAGATCCTTAAATGGAGTTTATGTTGGGATGAGGGCTTTTTTCTGTTGGAGACCCACTTGTTTCTAGGGGGAGCAACAATGATATTAGGTTACACAGATTTCACAAACTGACAGTGAAATCAGCCCAGAATCACCGCTGAGCTGCCTCTAATTTCTGATGTTTAAAATCAGATCCAGAAATATGAACCAGAGCTGAGCTTCTTCCTGAGCCCTCTCCTGGCAAATTCTGTGAAGTTCTTTCAATCATTAAATTATTTTCTACAAATCATTTATTATTACCCATCAGTTTACTGCTTGGGAAATTGAGATCCATCATTGTGCAGGCTGCTAATCAATTCAGGAATGGCACAGGAATGGGCTCCAAGACAAGCAAGTGCCAGATTTGCTTGTGGGAAATGGTGAGGCATGTGAGTTCCTATGCTGGAAAAAATAACCCAAAGATGTAGAAACAGCTTCTGTCCCCATCACCTAGGAGCTGACTCCAGCCCAGCAGTGATAGTCTGAAGGAGTGACCTTTCAGAGATAATCATTTCAGCAGCACTCCCTTACTGCTGTGAGACAGGGAGCAGATTACAACACAGGTGCCCCTGTTTACCTCTCAAAATTTGTGTACTCTCAGTGACAGATGGGCTCTCAGATGTAGCCAACCAGTGCTGGAGATTTGTAATCCCTTGCTTGTTGCAAATGCCATACCAGTCTCTTGGGTGCTGTGCTGTAGTCCAGGGCCAAAAGGAGGAGAGGAAGAAGTGCCTGGGATAGATAAAGGAATATGAGCAGACACAACAACAAAAATAATCTTGACCCATGGCCAAATTAGAATCCCAGAGCTCCAAAAGGAAGAGAGTATGAGCAGAAAACAGCTTTGTGCAGGATTATGAGCTTGAGATAAGGTTGGAGGAAAGTATACGGGCTCAGATACTTCTCCATCACCCATCTCTCCCTGAATGGGTGCACGCAGGCTGCCTCCTGCCTCAGCTCACAGAGGTGGCATTCTGCAGGTGTTACTGAGACCATGAACTTGACAATGTCTTGCACTTTTCGTGTGTTGGACTCTTCCATTTGAAGCATGATGCATATCTGCCTTGATGACTTTTTTGGAAGTGAGATCCCACCACGTGGTGAACTGCCTTGATCCCTGCTTCTCCTTTCTTTCAGGGGAACTTCAGAAATAACATGGTTTATTTCTGACAGACTTTCAAAACCCAGGCACTTCCAGACTAGCTTTCTTTGTTTTGAACTATCCCCTTTAAGCATGGTGAAGGAAAGGTGGATACAGGTTCGCATGGTGGTCCCAAGCCTTTTGCAGATCCTTCAGCTGGAGATGGCAAGTGAATACATGTGGATTTTCAGGGAGCAGCTGAATCTAGATCTACACCCCATTCACTAGCCAATTGGGAAGAAGAGAAAAAGGAGGGCAGTGTGGGGTGAGCACCCAGGGTCATCAGCCAGCCTGCTGGTCCCTGAGGCTGGTTAAGCAGGAGATAAAAAGGGAGTGGTTGGGGAAAGTCTCTCAATTCTCCTGTCAGTTTCTCAGCTGGCGTCTATACTTGGATTTTCCTCAGATTGAGTGGATACCCTGCAAATGTGTTGCTGGGGTCAGTGTCTTGACAAGCACCCTGTTACTGCAGGTAGTAAAATCTGTTCCCTTCCCCTGACCAGTTAGGAATGGTGTGCAACCTTGCAATCTTAAGGATCCAGGAAGAAGAGAGGGGAAAAAGGGACTAATATCAGGATAGACTTTATTCTTTGCCACCATGACAGTTTTAAAGCTAGGAGCTGAGCTGCATTCACACCATATGATGAACAGCCAGCCTTGCTGAGTGCCCAGTCTAGGACTCAGAGCTGCAACAAGAGGACACTCAGCAGCGGGAGATGCCTCTCCCTGATCCTGGCCACATTCCTAGCACACAACCCAAGGGGCTACACCTCTCTTTACCTCTTTTAGGAAGGTGGATGGAAAGCGTGGTCCTTTGACAAGACTCAGAGGAGTGGCTGAAGCTGCTGTAAACTATGCTGCTGTGCTTGCTTGGAGGCACAGATACTCAGCTGTAATGGTAAAGCGCTTCAAGTTACTCCAAGAAAATGTGAGATTTGTACAATTAACAGGATTTATGATACAGGAAGAGGGGTTAGAGGGCTTCCCCAGCAGGTCATAACCCGTGACAGCCATGGCCAAGTTTCCCAGACCTCTGGACAGCAGGATCAAGCGGTTCTGGGGGACTTCTGAAGCCAAGTGCACCACTGTTGACTAACCTGCTGCACAGAGCATTCGAACTGGCTCTTCTTATACTTCTCCCATGACAGTGTTACCCTGTGGGCAGCTGGCGCAGACCTAAAAAGGGTAGTAGCCCATGAAACCAAAGAACCTGCGTCTGTGGGATTAACCAGGCTACTATTAACAGCGTGATGGCTTGTTTTGTGAAGTGATTGGGATGGCTATCCCCAGTATTTGGCAGAGATTCACTGATCTAGGTG